TTTTTAGTTCGTTCGTTCGTTCGTTGGTTCATTCCTTGCTTCCTTGCTTCCTTCCTTCCTTCCTTCCTTGCTTCCTTGCTTCCTTGCTTCCCTCCCTCTTCCATTCCTCCCTCCTTCACCTTTTTTACAACTCAAAGCGCCACCATACCAAAATACCAACAAATAATGTCCTTTATGTTCGTTACTCTAGGTCTTGCTGCTGATATTCTGCTGTGTAATGGAGGAGTGTTCTTGAAATCCACGTAAGTCATTTCCTATATATTGATTCATCATTTTGCAAATACAGCAGCTGCCATGTGTTGTTTCTTGATACTGACTTGTTTTTGCTACTTGCTCTCTTTCTACCTATTTTAGGCAGAGGGATTTATCCATAACAGATTTAAACCCCAATACATATTACCCCAAGGTACATATAGCTATCAGCACTTAAAAAAAATTTTTTTTCCATAAAATTTAAAGCGATCTGAGTTAGTAATGTTTTGATTGACGCGTCGATGGAAGGCAAAAACCCTGACATCAGGAATTGTCTTGTTCACGTAATTGTAACAATATGTTTAAACTTCGATTATAAATACGTCTCTAAATTTAACTTTAATTGTATCTAAGTATTTCGTGCAATTCACTGTATTTTCATTCGACGTAAAGGCTTTCCTTTTTATTTTTCTAGATAATTTCAGTTGAAAACGAGAATGTCTTCGACTTTGTGGTAGGTTTTGGATCTTAAAAATGTTGCACTATTGTCCCATTCTTGCAAGAACAAATTAAAACATCTTAAAAATAAACGTCAAAGAAGAGGAATATACCTTTATAGTTGGGCGTGTCATTCTCTTGAGAATAAGATTCTTTGTTTAAGTTGTATCCATATACATGTGTCTTCTCAAGCGCAACCGTTAAGCAAAGAAATAATACTCTAGGGAATGACACATGGTCAGAAATGGGAAAACATTACGCCCAACGTAAATTGAACAGATTGCACCGTGTGTCAGATCTTCGTTATGTTCTCATGCGCAACCGTTAAGCAAAGAAATAATACCCTAAGGAATGACACATGGTCAGAAATGGGAAAACATTACGCCCTAGGTAAATTGGACAGATTGCACCGTGCGTCAGATCTTTGTTATGTTCTCATGCGCAACCGTTAAACAAAGAAATAATACTCTAGGGAATGACACATGGTCAGAAATGGGAAAACACCTTCATTATTTGTGGTGATGGTCCTTAAATGCTTGTACTGTTTCTTTTCAGTTCAATTACTATGGTACAACAGAGTCTGTATATTCATCTGGTTCAGACTCCCAGTCGTCCAGTGAGCTCAAACCAGACGGCTCACTAGATATGAATATTGGTCGTGTAAATGTGGTATTTGTGTATAGATTTGTTGATGAGTTAATGGTAAGTTCCCTTTTCTGCTCATTTTTCTTGTTCATATTTAACATATCCTTTTTCACCAATTCCTTATTTGTTTTCTCTTTCTCCCTCTTCCTCTTCTTTTCTTTTCTGTTTTCTTGTCCCTTTCTTTTTCTCACTCCTATCTTTGCCATTTATTTATTCGTTGTTTCCTTCTATTTCATTTCCTTTTCCCCCATTTCCTTATTTGTTTTCTCTTTTTTCTCCCTCTCTTTCTTCGTTTTTTTTCTTCTTTTCCCTCTCTTTTTCTCACTCCTATCTTAACCATTTATTTATTTCTTGTTTCCTTCTATTTCCTCTCCTTTTCCCCCATTTCATTATTTGTTTCCTCTTTTTTCTCCTGCTCTTTCTTCGTTTCCTTCTTCTTTTCCCTCTCTTTCTCTCACTCCTATCTTAACCATTTATTTATTTCTTGTTTCCTTCTATTTCCTCTCCTTTTCCCCCATTTCCTTATTTGTTTTCTCTTTTTTCTCCCGCTCTTTCTTCGTTTTTTTTTTCCTTCTTTTCCCTCTCTTCTCTCACTCCTATCTTCTTTATTCGTTGGCTCCTTTTCCCTCCTTTTCCTATTCCTAAGTTCTGCATATTCATTTTCTCAGAATCCTTTCTACTTCTACTTTAAATACCTCTCTTCGACATTTTAATTCTTATAAACATTTTCTTACATTTTTTCACATAGCGATATTTTGAGCCATTAACAAGTCCACAGTCAACAAAATACGTACAAGAAGCTGCATCAAAAACAGTGTACACACAGGTCAGATTTGTTCTTATAATTCAAGATTCTATTTTATGTTACAAATACAAAAAATCAAATCGAAATATTCTCAGAAATTCTACACTGTTCGCGAATTCCAGTTCGGGATGATAAAAACGACCATAAAAACGACTCATGTTGATTGGTTCCTTTAGATTTGACGGGGACTGTTGGGGACTATTACACATTCTTCCCTGTCAACCCAATCTACAGTACAGGTCTCCCACCGCTCGTCTAAGTACTGATACCATTACTGCTATTTTCATAGACATGCTTCATCTGCACGCTGAAATTAGGTTTTTCGCTGCCGTCAGTCGAAAAATATGAAAGACTAATAAGTTTTGATCGACTTCAGCGAGAAACTAAATTTCAGTGTGCAGCTGGCATGGTATGAAAATACCATTAAATTTTTATTCCCAACAGTTCGAGAGCCTCCAGTCCCAAGGTAGTCGCATCGCACTCGACGTGAAGATTAACGCGCCTCTTATCGTGATGCCTCGTCACTCGAGCTCCATAGACATGCTGATCGCTGATCTGGGTCATCTGGAGCTGCAGAATGAATTTGAGGTGTTTGAAGTAGCTGATAGTAGGGAGAAAATAGTTTTTGATATGATGGAGCTGACTTTACAGTCAGTACAGTTGGCTAGGTTAGTACCTGAAAAACAAAAGATTTAGTGTCTATAATACACTTGACAAAATTACTCGATTCTGATTGGACAAGAGGAGTACAATTAAATCCCAAATTGTACTCTGTATTAGTCCCAATTAAGTTGCTCAATTTTGTCGTGTATTGTACCAATATATTTTGTTGCTACCATCCCCTACTCCCGTGACTAATATATTGTGTTGCTACCATCCCTTACTCCCGTGACTAATATATTGTGTTGCTACCATCCCTTACTCCCGTGACTAATATA